AAGTTGGGACATGCAAATATCGATATTAATTAAAAATTAGTCAGCACCATCAGTCAGCACCTTGAGGAAAATATGCATACAGCTGCAATTTTTATTGACTTACAAAAAGCTTTTGACACTGTGGATCATGGCATATTGCTCAATAAATTAATAGATTTGGGTGTAGTAGTTTTTGTATTACAGCATAATTAAAGATTTTTCTCGTGGAAAGGGTGGTAAGGACGAAGGTGGGAAATTTTACAAGTGGGGGTCGTAGCATAACTTGTGGAGTCCCACAAGGTTCTGTTTTAGGTCCTTTATTATATCTGCTATATACCAACAACCTAAAAGATGTAAATTTAAGGGCAGATACATACTATATGCAGACGATACTGCCATAGTATATGCAGATAAGGACAAAAAAAGGCTTGAAGATACAATAAACACGGACATGAAAACATACACCGACTGGCTAACTAAAAATAAACTAAGAATTAACATCAATAAAAACAAAAAACATATATTTCAAACATAAAAAAAAATACCGAGAACACTAAACTAAATATTAAAGTAATATAATAGAGAAATAGAAGAAGTGGAAAAGCATAAAAACTTGGGACTGATAATAATGAAAAACTGACATGGACAGAACATATAAACAAAATAAAAAGAAAAATTGGAACATTAACAGGGGCATTGAAAAGGATCCACTCTTTTGGCAAAAAAAATAAAATACTAATCTTCTTAAAACGCAAATACTACCTATAATTTTATATGGAATAAACAACATGGAGCCAAACAACTAAAGCTAACTTAAATGACATACATACAGACAATAATGAATAAAGCCACCAAAATAGCATACAATTTTCCACATCTGACACCCACCAAATAATACAGAGAGAAGAAACAAATATCTTTCACTAAATAACATAATTAAAATAGAGAAATGCAAGCTAATACACAAAATGAAATTTAACCGAATTAAAACAAGCACCAACAATAGACATAAATCAAGATATACATGAACACTATACTAGACAACACAACAATTTTCACATTGAACACAATAGAAAGAAGAATTTCAGAGAAAATGTCATATGGAGTGCCAGCAAAACATATAACGAATTGCCAAACAATATTAAGATGACCAAAGATGACGATAAATTTAAAAGAAAAATAAAAAACCACTATAGGAAATTGAAGACCAAAAAGACTGCTGAGAGTGATATATAAAGATATTTTTAGTATATATAGATATTATATTAATGAAATAGATTATTATAGTCAAATGAAATGTATATATTATTATGAAAACTGTTTTCATAATCTCTAATACCAGGCAACTCTGCCTGACTGAGATATGAAAATAATGTATATATATAA